ATGGATGTAGGAAGGACTTTATACATTTACAACAACAGTTGACAAAAGCAGGTACACATTTAACAATGACTTTCACAACAACCTTGGAGCTAATATTTTTTATTAAGTACTTGATAGTTCAAGGCATTTTACACACAGAGGAGACAGAAAAAGTCATCTGAAGGTGAAGACAAAAATTGGAGTGACGCAGCTGCAAGCCAAGGACTGTCAGGAATGAGCAGGAACTAGGAAGAATTTAGTATTATTCTCAATCTGCCCAATTTCTGTGTTTATTTTACAGTTTGAGAAGCAACCATAGAGATGTTAATGTTAAATAAATAACCTACAGGTTGAGTATCCTTAGTGGGAAATCGACAGTGCTCCAGTGAGTTCTTCCTTTGACTATAATTTTGGTGTTCAAAAATTGAGTTTTATAACATTTTTTATTTTAAATTTTCAGATTAGGGATACTCATCTGTAGCTAAGAAGTGATGGACCAGCATCTGAACATTTGACTCCAGGGACATAAAACTAAAGCTCCTAAGGGTACCTGAGTGTGTGCTTCTGTATAATTTAAATTGTGTGCATGTGTATATTAGTTTCTTCAGGCTGCCTAACAGAGTACCTCAAACATGGTGTCTTAAAGTGACAGAAAGTTCTGTGAGTTCTGGAAGGCTGGAAATCAGTCAGGGCGTCAGCAGGGCTATGGTCTTTCTGAAGGTTCCAAGAAAGATTCCTTCCTTACTTAATTCTTCTAGTTTCTGCGCATTCCTGACAGTCCTTGGCTTGCAGCTGCGTCACTCCAATTTTTGTCTTCACCTTCAGGTGACTTTTTCTGTCTCCTCTCTGTGTGTCTATCTCTCCTTGTAAGTTCACCAGCATTGCACAGTTATGACTTCATCTTAACCTGATTACATTTATAAAGACTCTATTTCCAAATAAGGTCACATTCTAAGGGTGGACATTACATTCTGGGATGGACAGAAATTTCAGGAGACATTTTCTGAAGAGAATGACATTCTTATTAGAGGCCATTCACTGGCCCCCTACAAAATTTGTATCCATCTAACATACAAAGTAAATTCACCCCATCCCAGCATCATCAGTTCTCAGCCCATTCCAGCATTAACTCTAAACCTCATGTAAGTGTTAATATCATCAACTCAAAAAGTGGCAAATCTCATCCTCTCAATCATCTAAATCAACTATTCGTGAAACTCGGGTATGATCCTTCTTGGGGCAAAATTTCTTTCCATCTGTGGACCTGTGAAAGCAGAAAAGAAGTCTTCTAAAATACAGTGGTGGGAAAGGCATAGGACAGACATTTCCATTCCAAAAAGAAGTTTGAAGTAAAAAGGAGTCGTGGTTCTCAAACATGTTCCAAACCCAGCAGGGTAAATTCCATTAGGTTTCAAAGCCTGAAAATAAAAGGCTGCATGCTCTGTCCTCTTGGTCCTCTTCTTCATTCCCTGGAGTTCTTCCTGAAAGGATAACATTCGAAGCTCAGTAGTTCTAGCGCTATCAGCCGGCTTCTAGCCTCTGTGTGTTAATACCTATATGTGTTGGTAAACAAGGTAAGAACAATTGAAGTTTAGGACGGCCTAAATGGTGAGTCTCAAACCTAGGTTGTCATGTTTCAAACTAGTGTTTTCTCTGCTGTACTCCACGAATTGAGGGCTTAAATACATCATTTGACAGTATTTGCAAGTATTATTTGCAAGAGGCTTTGTGCATGTAGTTTGTGAAACCTGTGTTGGCAGCTCAGATAGTTTTGTGTTATTCTGTTTTTGTCTGGGTAAGTTCCTGGACAAATAAGCTGCAGTATGATACTAACTCATATCTTAGAAGACCTTCACTTCTCATAGAAGCAAAATTATATATAATTCTATTATATACAGTTCAGTACTTAGAAAATGAAATTATTAGAATTTCCGATATGATTTATTATATGAGGCTGAATTTTGGTACTTTAAACCAGGCACATAGATGGGCATTGCTTCACTCCCTTCCACTTTCCCCCAAAATGACCAGCCCATTCTCCTAAAGACTGAGGTACTGTTATATATACATATTGGTGACCTTGTTTTGGAGAGGGATTCATGGAGGTGGGCCTTGAGGTTCTGGTTGGTACTAGTAGGATTTTTTTCATGGGCCTGCAGTAGTGGCTCAAGGCACCGGATCTAAATGATCTTGTAGGTTACGACTGTTTAAAATAAAGCGTTAGTTGCCGTGTGGTCCTGGTTGGTTTGTTGTTGCAGAATACAGTATCTAACACTGCTCTCCCTAAAGATCAAGCAATAAGATGGAGGCTCAGGTTTTTCTGAACTTGACTGGTGATTCTCTGTGTACATAATGCTATTATTAGAATTTGCCAACATATATGTCCAGTAATTGTACTGTCTTCAAATAGTTTTCAGGGACAAATTCACTGTTCTTCCTAATGATTTTTCTTTATTCCAGTTTCCTAGGTAAACTGTATTTAATACTTAGCAGAATACTTGCCCACTGTATAACCACCACAGTGCCACAGTGTGGTGCTGCTGTGCTTTGGCTGAATATTTACAAAATCACTTTGCCTATTGCTGTCAAATTTTTATTTTGTGGACTAAAGAAGATGTTCTCTAAAGTATATGAAAATGCACTTGTATCGGATAGTTTTTTAGCTGTACATAATGAGTTATATGATTGCTTTCTAGTGTGTGCCAGATTGATTGCCTTTTATGTTGATCAGTTTTTTATTAGCATGCTTATTTAATTTTTTTCCTTGATTGCCCCATCTTATTTAGTTAAGAATCAAAAGGCTTCTTGGAGGTTATGAAAAAAAATTTGAAGAAACCAGCAAGCAGAATGACACTATAGATAACAAAAGGCATATCTTTTTAAATGCAGGTTTTTTGGATATTACACTTTCTCTCAAAATATGTAATGCAGTCTTCCAAACCAAAAGTAGTATATTTCTCCCACTGTTATTACTTATGCTGTTTGTGCCAAAATCCATTCAAGAGGAAACAGTTTATGATTTTTGTAGATACAGTGTTCCCATTTTTAAAATTTCCAGATTTACTTTACTTCAGCTTTCTGTCTTTACTGTCTGTAAGATGCTGTTTATCAAGCCTGTATGTACTCTTGATACAGTGAACAAAACAGTTTTTATTGAGGGGCTTCTGTTAATGTTAGTCTCAGAAAGGTGTTGAGGAGTAAGCACCAGACAATCAAAAGGATTTATGGCACCGAAAGGGGTAATAATTTCTTGCCATTGAACTCTCAAGATCACAATTTAATATTCCAGTCCCTGAAAATGAGTGAGGATCCTTGTCTTGATCCATAGTACCACATACCAGCAGCAGGATCAGCAGAAATATTTCTTGATAACCTAAGAGGAGATAATTTTGACTCTTGAAGCAGGAGTACTGGAAAAATCATAAGTTTCATGAGAGAACTGACTTTTAATGTTTTCTACACTTGAGATGAGTGTGGGAAAGGTATTTGGTTACTGCAGGAGAAACTGTAAACTCTCTAGGAAGGTAAGGACCACTTCTGTTTTGCTCATCATGATATTCCTGGTACCTAGCACTTGTATATTTTTACTGAGTGGTCATAATGGAATTCTAATTGTTGAATTCTCGTAGAGAGAAGTAGTGATTAAATGCCAGTGAAGTATTAGGAAGGGGGCATTCAGCATCTTTTTTTCTCGACATATTTCACATAAGAAATGCGCATAGAGAGTGTAGTATCAGCTATCACTTTCAGAGTTGCATTAACCATTTGAGAATGTCAGATTTTGGAGTTGGGTATTTTAGAAGTGGGAGTTGGAATAAACAACCCATGTTAACAGAATCCTCAAAGGGATTACCTTCAAAAGGTTTTCTGTAAAATAATGTAAGAATGAACTAAGAATACAGGGCAGTAGAATATTTAGGAAGGAATTCAGCATATAATAGTTAACATTTATGGATACACTTAGTAAATGTTTGTGGTTTACCTGCCTTGGAGCAGGCTTTCTTATATGCCTCTTAGGCTGTAAGTATAAAAGGCAAGAACAGTGATGAGTTTTTTAAAAATTTAGTTGAATATGTATTTGTGTAAATATTTACACATTCTGCATATTTGTATAAAAAAAGAATGGTGGTAGAAAGTTTGTGCTTGGTGGTAAAGACACACAAGCACATAATTTTAATGTTTTGGAAAATGCATACTGGAGGCCTACCATGAATTTTAACATGTATCTTACTTACACTTTAGTTCTGGGAATCGGATCCTTTGAGTTGTATCTTTTGTCATTTATTTTTAGAATGCTATGTAATATTTTTTGTTATCTATGAAATAGTGGCACTAAAGATATGTTTCAGGTTTTTAAAAATGAGCTTATTTTGCAATTGTAACCACAAAAGAATAATAAAAATATTTTTATTTGGAGAACTTATATTAGAAGACAAGTTGGAAAACACTTTGAAGAAAATAAGTATTAATTTTTTAGCCATGGTGATAATGTAGAATAAAAGAACAATTTTCAGCTTTCTACTTATTTTCTAAAAATTGTAATGAAAGAATTATTCCCTTTTTCCCCCCTCTGTTACATAACAAAATAAAACTTTAGAATAATATGGCTTTATTTTAGGAGTATTTTTAGTGGGCTTCTGATAAATATTCTCTTATATAAAAAAATTCTTGTTATTTATAACAGCTTTGTCTGCTAAAATTTATCAAAACTTTTTAGGGCATATATTGATGCAACCATATGGTTTTCCTGCTTAATTAATAATGTACAGAATATCACCAGTTCCTGTTAACTACTCTTGTGTTTCTGGGCTAACCACTCCTTGTCATGGTGTATTTACTCTTAATTCTCAACTTGCTTTGACTTGCTGAGATTTTGTTTAGGATTATTTAAAATGTATTCAAACGTTTGGTTGCCCTGTAGCTCTTCGGAGGGTGCTGTCTTGAACAGTTTTAGTAATAGAGCAGACTTTTATTTTTTAACAGAACTGCTATTTTTAATTTTATATTTCCTTAATTGACAGGTCGTGGTTCAATTCCAGAATTCTTTCATATTATGAAAAGAAAGTTTACCAACAAAGAATGGGAAACAATCAGAAGCTTTAAGGATGAATGGACTCAGCTGGATATGTTTTACAGGAATTGGGTATAATTCTAATTTTGAAAACAAAAGTCTATAATGATTTCATTATCTTCACTTAAAATCAAAGTCCTTTGGTTACCCAGTAGTGTCCAAAGAGTGCTTGAAGTAAATGGGTGATTGCTTGAGAACTTTATGGAATTTTATGCACAGTATTTCATTATAATGACATTTCATTTTAAGAAAATTTAACCTATATGTAATGCTCAGTTAGAAAGTACTTAGAGCTAAAACAAAACATTTATCACCATTTATAAATAATGTTTTCTGTCATAAAGGAACTAATACACATGAAGTCTTGTGTAACAAACACTGATATGTACACTACATGCCAGAAAACATTACTTCAAGCTCTTGCTAAGTTAGTTAATTTAATGTATGTAACAATCCTATGAGGAAGGTGTCATCATCGTCACAGGTTACACATGAGGGGACACAGGAACAGAGAGCTTAAATGATTTGCCCTAAGATCATGTGGATGGTTTGTTTCCATGCTATAAGGGTTTAAAAAAAAGCTTATAATCATATAGCCATAATGTAGTGTAGTGTTAAAAGTCCCTGTCTCTTGGGCCTGTGGATTCTATGAAAAATTTTATCTACTGCATTCTAAGAGAAAATGTCTTTCTGTATCTTAGGCACTTAAAGAAAGCTTCATAAAAGCCATTGGTGTTGGACTAGGATTTGAATTGCAGCGGCTTGAATTTGATATATCTCCATTAAACTTGGATATAGGCCAGGTTTATAAAGAAACACGTTTGTACCTGGACGGAGAGGAAGAAAAAGAATGGGCATTTGAGGTAAGAAATTGATTAGAATCATTGTAACTAAGCAAATCCATTTTTTATGCATGTATTTATGATGAATTTGGGTAGGCTAGTCACTGAATCCGGTTGCAACTGAATCCCTTGCTGGTCCTCTGAAAGTGAAATCAGGGCTACTGTGAGAGCATATAACATTTATACTAATACTCGAAAGATGAGGCATTGTGAGTTCAGCAAAATAGGAAAGGAGCTTTGCATGTGTGAACAGCCAAACGCAGTCACTTTGGCTGGGTCATAGCGAGGTTGTTTGAGACATTCCAGTTCAGGCTGGTAGATCCTGCAGGTTTTTGGTCAGGTTGAAGATTTTGGTCTCCCTAATGTATTTTGTTTCTGTCACTAGCAGTTCTTGGTTGCTAGTGAGCGAAGCCAACACACACTCATTTAAGCCAAAAAACAGAGTTATAGGTTACTAGAGTAATTCAGTAACGGTCCCCGGTATTAGCTAGAATTAGGGAATGAAATATTCAGAGCCCTTTTGTCTCCTTCTTTTGCCTTTCTATACATTTCGGCTTCAGTTTTCTCCTACCCTTGTTTCCCATTCTGTACACCAGCTTTCTCAGCTTCTCTGGTCTGCATGACAGAAACATAGCTCTTGCATGTATCATACTGTTGCATGTAATAATTTACAAACAATTTACATTTTAAAAATCCAAACAAACTGGTAAACTTGCTTTCTGTCCCAAGCCCAAAAATCCTAGAGAAGGGCGTCCCTGGCCTTGCTTGGGCTAGGAGTTTATCTCTAGACCAGTCACTGTACTGTGATTGGTCCTGCTTGTGTCAGTTGTCCAGAGTTCAGCCAATGGGCTGTAGAACAGTTCTCTGACTTATGAGATCATCTGGTGAAACACAGAATACTAGAAAATAAATGAGACGTTACGTTTGAAATACCAAATATCTAAGTGAAGATGGTAAGTAGGTGAGTGGAATGAAGGGCTGGGCTAGAGGAAAAAAATGACAATTATAATGGTTATAAGTTTAACCATTATGTCAATGGTAATTAAAACCATGAATTTAAAATTAGAACTATGAGATTACCTAAGGAGCAGCTATAAATTTAATCTATGAAGAGAGAAACGCAGATTGAAGCCACGAGAAGTTAGAGGGCCTAGACTAGAGCCCTGAGAACACATATGAGGCAAAGAGGGAGGGAGCGCTAAAATGTAATTTAATGGTTCAACTTTTTTTGACTCTATGATGGTGTGAAAGCGATGATGCATTCAGTAGAATTCATATTTGCAGAACCCACGCAACCATTCCTTTTTTCATTTTCAGTACAGTATTCACTAAATTACATGAGATATTCAGCATTTTACTGTAAATGAGGCTTTGTGTTAGATGATTTCGCCCTTATAGGCTGATGTAAGCATTCTGAGCACAGTTAAGGTAGGCTATGCTATGCTATGCTATGCTATGCTATGCTATGCTATGCTATGCTCTGGTATGCCAGGCTAGGCTATGCTATGCTCTGCTATGCTATGCTATGCTATGCTATGCTATGCTATGCTATGCTATGCTCTGCTATGCCAGGCTAGGCTATGCTATGCTATGCTATGCTCTACTATGCTATGCTATGCTATGCTATGCTATGCTATGCTATGCTATGCTATGCTATGCTATGCTATGATGTTCTGTAGGTTAGATGCATTCAATGAATTTTCCATTTCACCATATTTTCTTACAGTGGGTTTATTGGGATGTAACATCATTGTGAGTCGAGGAGCATCTGTACTAATAGTCAAAGGTGGATTTGTGGGGGAGATAAAGAATGACCAAAATGGTATAAGAGAGCAGTGTTGGGATCCAAGGACAAAAACATTTTGAGAAGGAGAAAGAGAAAGAGAGCTGAGTCAAAAACTGCTAGGGGCCAGGTGTGTGGTTCATGCTTGTCATTCCAACACTTTGTGAGGCTGAGACGCCATCTACAAAAAACTTTAAAAATGAAATTAACATTCGTTAGTGTCCAACCGTCAGTTTTTAGATACATAATACCTCTAATTATATGTTAAGCATGATTCTTATTTACCGAAATATTCTATACATATAAGAACTATATTTTACATTCTAAATTTCTGAAAAATTGTTTTAGATAGTTTTAAATTTGCACATTCAGGTTACTTTGTTCTTGTTTGTTTAAAGAAAACACAGGGCTACATAGCAGACTGACTTTGTGACAACTCTGGCAGAGTAAATCTTCTGATACTTAGTCATGTATTTTTCCTATTTAAACATGTCTTAAATGTATCCTTACTGAATTGCACTTTTTGTTGATTTGGGTACCTGAAGGTGTGAGGATAGGAAGAAGAAGATAAAAAAATGAAAGCTCCCTAAGTACGATTTCTAATTGTAGAGTCTTCTGGTGTTTTATGGAAGAATGCTTTAGTAAAGTGGTTTTTCAGTGAAAAGTTCTTTCAGCTTTTAAGTGTTTCTGATTTTTTCTGGTAACTGCCTCAATCTGTATTACATTTTAAAGCTCTCTCCCGCTTTGTCTCATATGTAAGGGATAATAGAAAATTGCATATTGGTTATGTATTACCTGTAAGTTTCCACCATGGTTTTTCATACGTGATACTATGTAGTTAACTAAATGTTTACATACCAGTGTTGCAACCTGATTTTTTTTTACCTGCACTTTATTATACATACAATATTAACATCACCAGTGAAGGACAGATAGCTATCAAGTGCTTCTAGACAGGGCACATCACCTATGTAGTATTCTGGTTAAGAATGCGTAACCTAAATCCAGTCATTAAGAATCATCAAACCCCAAATGAGCAATGTTTTGTTAATAAAAAGCAGATTTGGGGGACTTTCTATTTTCATACGTTAATGTCATTAAAAAAACAAAGGCTAACAAGGCATGACAACCAAATGCAGTGCTTGTCCCTAGTTGCCCATTCCTGGGCTCCTGTTCTGGAGGAGAGATATGCCACAAAGGACAGTATTCGATTAATTCACAGAATTTGGAATACAGTTCGTATTTGTTCAGTGTTAAGACTTACTGCAGTTATTAATTGCTGTGGTTATGCAAGAGAATGTGCCTACTAGGAAATACATGTTGAAGTATTTAAGAGTGAAGAGCTAGCATGTCTGTAACTTCTAAAGTGGTTTAGGGGAGGTGGGGAGATACATATATGCCTGTGTGTGAGTGTGTGTGTATATATAGAGAGAAAGAATAAGATTTAGAAAACGTAAACAAAACTGCTCTCTAGGTTTGCATATTTTATAATCTATATTTATTTGCCTTTTATTTTTCAGGAAAGCAAAATAGATGAGCACCATTTTGTTGCAGTAGCTCTGAGGAAGCCTGATGGATCTAGACATCAGGATGTAAGCTTTAGGATTTCTCTTTTTCTAAGAAGCATGAATCAATGTTAAGTTTGCTGTTTATTGAATGAAATAGTCATTTGCCTTATATCAGTTAAAGGGACTTTTTAAGACTGTAGATACAGTAGTACTTTTTATAGCAAATCATTAAGATCACTAGGGATTTTGTAGAAACGTTTTCAAAAAGCATGTTACCTGCTTCTTCACATTCGTATACACTTAAGTATTGCAACAACAAAAAATGTGGTTAGTACTTTCATACAACTCATATTTCCAGTAGATGTTCAAGATAATCTCTATCTTAGTCATCTTAATAGTAATTTATTTCTTGGTGAATTGGGGTTGTGTTGAATAGAAGAGTACCAAGTTGAAGGTTGATAAGTAATGGAATTACCTTGCAAATTGAGTCCACTCCTCCTTTTAAAGTAATATCCTGAATTATTCCCATATTTACAGCATCAAACATGTAAGAGACCTTGTGTCATACATATTGTGGCATCACATGAGTTTCAATTCTTCAGTCACAATGTTTTTATACTTTCTTATCCTATTACCTAGTAAGCAAATGCAGTGGAAAAACTTAGGATCAAAGACTCTTAGCTTGCATATAGTTGTGATTCCGCAGAAGTATTTAAGGAAAACTGGTAATGTTTTAATCAAAACTACATGCATGTCATTATTTTTAGGGAATCAACATGAAAGAATGTAGCATGATCTATATATGTGCATCATTACTTCCAGAAGACTAGCTCAGGCAACATACCACACCTTTGATAGATTAATCACAGGATTAAGAATTCTCCATAGATTATCTTCCTTAAAAAAAGTATGGCATGTTAAAATTGACACCTGTTATCTGAACATGTTCTGACCCAGGTTACTAGTCCTTCTGTTTTTAAATCTCAGCTTCACACTCTCTGCAAAAATAGTTTTTATTTCCATAGAGCTTTATAATTTTTGAAACATTTGCACATTCAGTACTCACTTTTTATTTCCCTGGATAGAGCATGTTTAGGCGACAGTGGCATATTGGGAAAACCTAGCGTACAATTCACAAAATTGGGTTCCAAGCCCGTATCTACCATTTAACCTGTGTTTTGAGCTTGGGCAAATTGTTTGCTCTTCCTGAGCCTTAGATTCCCCATCCATAAAATTGATATAACCATATCACAACATAGCTATGACACCAGTCATATACAGTAAGTACTGGACCATACCAAAGGGCTGTACAAAACCCAAGCACTGTTTATACTAGAATGTGCAGAATGGTAAAGAGGGTCTGCACGGCGTTGAGAATATAGTATTCTGGTGGAGAAGACATAACCTAAATCCAGTCATTAAGAAATATCAAACAAACCCCAAATGAGCAATGTTTTGTGAATAAAAAGTATTCCATCTCAGAATATAAGATACAGTGAACAAGGGCTCCATCTCAGAATATAAGATACAGTGAACAAGGGATCTATCTCAGAATATAAGATACAGTGAACAAGGGATCTATCTCAGAATATAAGATACAGTGAACAAGGGCTCCATCTCAGAATATAAGATACAGTGAACAAGGGATCTATCTCAAATATAAGATACAGTGAACAAGGGCTCCATCTCAGAATATAAGATACAGTGAACAAGGGCTCCATCTCAGAATATAAGATACAGTGAACAAGGGATCTATCTCAAATATAAGATACAGTGAACAAGGGATCTATCTCAGAATATAAGATACAGTGAACAAGGGATCCATCTCAAAATATAAGATACAGTGAACAAGGGATCTATCTCAGAATATAAGATACAGTGAACAAGGGATCTATCTCAGAATATAAGATACAGTGAACAAGGGCTCCATCTCAAATATAAGATACAGTGAACAAGGGATCCATCTCAGAATATAAGATACAGTGAACAAGGGATCTATCTCAGAATATAAGATACAGTGAACAAGGGATCTATCTCAGAATATAAGATACAGTGAACAAGGGCTCCATCTCAGAATATAAGATACAGTGAACAAGGGATCTATCTCAATATAAGATACAGTGAACAAGGGATCTATCTCAGAATATAAGATACAGTGAACAAGGGATCTATCTCAGAATATAATATACAGTGAACAAGGGCTCCATCTCAGAATATAAGATACAGTGAACAAGGGATCTATCTCAGAATATAAGATACAGTGAACAAGGGCTCCATCTCAGAATATAAGATACAGTGAACAAGGGCTCCATCTCAGAATATAAGATACAGTGAACAAGGGCTCCATCTCAGAATATAAGATACAGTGAACAAGGGCTCCATCTCAGAATATAAGATACAGTGAACAAGGGCTCCATCTCAGAATATAAGATACAGTGAACAAGGGATCTATCTCAGAATATAAGATACAGTGAACAAGGGATCCATCTCAGAATATAAGATACAGTGAGCAAGGGATCCATCTCAGAATATAAGATACAGTGAACAAGGGATCTATCTCAGAATATAAGATACAGTGAACAAGGGATCCATCTCAGAATATAAGATACAGTGAACAAGGGATCCATCTCAGAATATAAGATACAGTGAACAAGGGATCCATCTCAGAATATAAGATACAGTGAACAAGGGCTCCATCTCAGAATATAAGATACAGTGAACAAGGGCTCCATCTCAGAATATAAGATACAGTGAACAAGGGATCTATCTCAGAATATAAGATACAGTGAACAAGGGATCCACCTCAGAATATAAGATACAGTGAACAAGGGCTCCATCTCAGAATATAAGATACAGTGAACAAGGGCTCCATCTCAGAATATAAGATACAGTGAACAAGGGATCCATCTCAGAATATAAGATACAGTGAACAAGGGATCCATCTCAGAATATAAGATACAGTGAACAAGGGATCTATCTCAGAATATAAGATACAGTGAACAAGGGATCTATCTCAGAATATAAGATACAGTGAACAAGGGATCTGTCTCAGAATATAAGATACAGTGAACAAGGGATCTATCTCAGAATATAAGATACAGTGAACAAGGGATCTATCTCAGAATATAAGATACAGTGAACAAGGGATCCATCTCAGAATATAAGATACAGTGAGCAAGGGATCCATCTCAGAATATAAGATACAGTGAACAAGGGATCCATCTCAGAATATAAGATACAGTGAACAAGGGATCTATCTCAGAATATAAGATACAGTGAACAAGGGATCTATCTCAGAATATAAGATACAGTGAACAAGGGATCCATCTCAGAATATAAGATACAGTGAACAAGGGCTCCATCTCAGAATATAAGATACAGTGAACAAGGGCTCCATCTCAGAATATAAGATACAGTGAACAAGGGATCTATCTCAGAATATAAGATACAGTGAACAAGGGATCCACCTCAGAATATAAGATACAGTGAACAAGGGCTCCATCTCAGAATATAAGATACAGTGAACAAGGGCTCCATCTCAGAATATAAGATACAGTGAACAAGGGATCCATCTCAGAATATAAGATACAGTGAACAAGGGATCCATCTCAGAATATAAGATACAGTGAACAAGGGATCTATCTCAGAATATAAGATACAGTGAACAAGGGATCTATCTCAGAATATAAGATACAGTGAACAAGGGATCTGTCTCAGAATATAAGATACAGTGAACAAGGGATCTATCTCAGAATATAAGATACAGTGAACAAGGGATCTATCTCAGAATATAAGATACAGTGAACAAGGGATCCATCTCAGAATAAAAGATACAGTGAACAAGGGCTCCATCTCAGAATATAAGATACAGTTTGAGTTTAGTATTGAATAAATAAAGAAGACACATCTGTGTATAGTTACGGCAGTTTTATCAGACCCACCGTCTAGAGTCGTATTTCACAGAAGTTCACCTTCTTACTCACTTCGGTCCAAATCACCTGACCGCTTGTTAAAACCACAGATTTTGGGATCTCTTCTAACTTCTATCATGAAGTACACTTTTTGGATGTGGGGCCCAGTAAATTTACATTTTAAATACCACAGGTTATTATATAAAGAAGTTCAAGAACCAGGTTTTCTAGTTCTTATTTTTTTATTTGTTGTATTGGCAACACTAACAAGATAGGAATACAAAAGAAATAAACACGATGTTCTGGATCCTGCTGTGTTGTCATTTAATAGAACTGAAATGTAAGTTGGTCTTATTTTCATGATTATGAAATTGATCATAAGATTAATGCGCAATATAACAATAAGATAATCTGCTTTTCTCTTTTAGGTTCCATCTCAAGATGATTCTAAACCAACCCAGAGGCAATTTACGATTCTAAACTATAATGATTTAATATCATGTGCTGTTCCCATGACACCTGAAGATCCTTCATTTTGGGACTGTTTTTGCTTCACAGAAGAAATTCCAATACGAAATGGTACAAAGTCATGATGATTCCCTGAATAACAGAGGGAAATGAAAACTGTTTGTAATCTTCCACATTCTCTGAAAAATAAATGCTCGTTAGCATCAAACTTCATTTCACAAAGGTTTTTTAAAGAACAGAAACTTTTCCCATTTAAAAAAAAAAAGCAGACTTCCAATTCAAGATAGCTCACTGGAATACTTGTTTACCTATTTCTCTCCCAAATTGCATTGAATTAATAAGAAGGATGGCAGAATTTTAAAGTGATACATGCTAAATGTAGAAAAAAAATCGAAAATGCACGTAAGCAAAAGGAAACATTTAAATGCCATCTTTCAGAGAAAACTACTCTAAAAACCTTGAGTATCTTTCCATGCCCTTTTCTTGGAAAATGAATCCATATTTACACATTTTGATTTTTTAAAAACATGGGAACATACTGTTTTTATAATTTTTTTTAACTACCCATCTACTGTTCATAAATATACCTCTGTAACCTAAGAATATGTGCTTCTAACGTACTCTGTTGTATAGCTAATAAAAGTTAGGATGTTTTTGGCCAGAGGTAACAGTGTCCAGATATAATTGGCTTAAGCAACCAAGGACGTTGTTGAAGGTAACACAGGGTTCAGGGGTGTCATTAAAGACATGCTTTTTTTGCCTTGACCTCGGTTGGTTTTGCCTTTGGCTAATCCACCTCTCAATCATAAGAGCTGCTGCTACTATAACTTCTAGTTTTACGTCTTTGTAAAATTGTGTCTCAAAGGCAGAAAAGGCCATTTCTTCTCTAATTTGTTTTATTCATGAGGCAGACTTTTAACAAAATCCTCCAGAAGATTTCCTCTCAGTTTCCACTGCCTCAGATCGGGTTACTGAGAAAGGCACTGTCGAACATTTTTATTCTCTGGTAGGCTCTGTTGAAAAGAGAAAAGCTAAGGTAGGTTTGAAGAATGGAATGGGAAGCCCGCTGCCTTCCCATGAGAAAGGTATGCCATAATTTTCATGTTTTTACTGTGTTAAGACATTTTGATTATCTGCAGTTTGTTACTACAAGCAATGGCAGAGTGAATGTCCTTGTACGTTTTGAGGTACATGCTTAATTGTGTCCTTGAGAAAGTTTCTGACAGTGGAATGGTTTGACTGATTCACAGGGTTTTAATTGTACAATTTACCCCTCTAATTAGTGCTGTATATGTTGACCTCCCTCCCCCCACCCAGCCAAAATACTCTGTCAAATTGCCAATATAACTAAAAAATGATATGTCATCTTTTAAATTCGTATTTCTTCATTACAAATGAGGTCGATATGTTAGTGTTGTTACTGGCTTCTCGTATTCCTCTTAATGTGAACCGTCTGTTTGTTGTCTTTACCTGTTTTCCTCTGAGCAAGTAGTACTTAATTTAAAGTGGGAACATAATATATAAGATGCCAAGACCATACTGATGACAAAAATTTATTATGTGATTGATTGCATGTCTTGGAGTTAAAGTCTTATGTATCAGTAAGTCAAATAATTTCATTGTTTCTATTACTCACATTAAAAGTTGTGTGCAAATTGTATAAATTAGGTACTTTGATTCGTTAAAAAAAATTGAATGAGCCAGGCACGGTGGCTCACGCCTGTAATCCCAGCACTTTGGGAGGCTGAGGTGGGTGGATCACCTGAGGTCAGGAGTTCGAGACTAGCCTGACCAATATGGTGAAACCCCATCTTTAAAAAAAATGGAATGTTTTATAATTTTTTTATTTTATTAAGCATGCCCAGTTATGCCAAGCATAGTAAATGAAGGTCAAGTAACATTTATAATAGAGGAAGTATTGTTATCCCTAGCATGAGTGTAATGGTGTTGTGAAAAATTTTGTCTTGTCGTTATAATAATAAAAAAGTGCATTTGTTACGGAATTTCTGTGAGCCTGATACTGCATTGGATTTGTGTTTTTTAGTTTCTAGTTTTTCTGTAACTTGTAATCAAAGTTTCATGTGTACATAGCTTTAAAAAATTAAATAGATCTATAAGATTTTCCTAAGGAAAAGCTCACTGCTTTGACTTCTTCCATTTCCTGTCTCCGGGGCAAGCCCTTTCAACTCTGTTAGCTGTTTCTTGTTATTTATTACCATATCTCTAATTGACATGCTTATATTGCTTTTACTAGATTTTTAAATTTCAAGCATTGTTCCTTTGATTCTCAAAGCTTCCTTCTTCTGCCCCCCAGCATTACACATTCCCTTTTCATTCCCTTTTCTCCTCCCAACATAATTATATCATAATTCAGTGTTTACATTGTTGACTCTGATTACACTAAGAATATGTGCACCTTATTTAGATTATGTAACTGCTGTGTACAGCTGAGTGATGTATTATCCTTGCCATATACTAATTTTTTATTTCCCTGATTTAATTGACTTTGCATAGATTTCTACCATTTGTATGAATGTCTTCTCTGTGCACTGAGAGACACCAGTTATTCCATCAGTTTCATTCGTCTTTAAAAAAATCACTCCTAGAGCAATCTGCTTTGTCCAGTTGGACTTTCTGCCTTCTGTGGCTGGCGTACAGCTGTAATCCTGGAATCTCCTTTGCCATGATCCTGGGGATTGTTTGCCTCCCCTATGTTAGAGTCCCTGTTTCCCCATTTGTTATCTCTCACGTCTGAGATTTATTATATGTGGAATAGCTTTTGGCGAACAACACAGGCATAGGAGTTACATTTTTTTGAGATTTATGAGAGGAAGAGGCAGTCGCCCTACGCAGAGTGGTATAGGGATCTAGTGGTATAGGGACCCATTATCCTATCCCCCTCCACATGAAGCTGTTTGTTAATTCTATGTTTATATCCACTTCTTCCAAAATATTTGATGCCAAGTTTTGTGCTGGGCTGGCACCTGCTGCTTCATAGTCATGCCTGCAGGGTCCACTTATACCATACTGACGAATGTATGGCTGTATTGGTCTCTCCTAATGTTTCCTCCATGGGAACTCTCATAAATTGATTTTTGAAATGAATCTGTATATTTGTGTCTCTTCCATTTCAGATTCAGAAGTTTAAAAGATTTGGATAAATTTTCAATTAAAATTTTTACAATCAAAATTAGAATTATTACCTCTATTCAGTATCTGAAACTCAAATACTAGTTATGTTTGAGTAACTCCGCAGCTCCTCAGTAGTTAAACTATTGCCATCTGAACTTGAGGACCAAATAGATTTCTAAATATACATATGCAAATATATCTTTGGTTTAAAATATTCCTGAAAACAACTCCAAGTATCAGTACTTTTAAAGAGGGTGTGAAGAGAGCTAATGAATGCTGGATTTCATTTTTATGAAGGAAATAAATATACCTTATAGTGTTTGTGAATTGGGGATTGGCAAAAGTCTTTGGATATATTTCCGGTTTACCAGTTAATGTCAGGTAACTGCTGTGTATGTCCTATGGTATTTACATTGAAGCTATTTTGCATCTTAAGTACTCATGTATCAGGCTATTCTCATAACTTTATGGAGTTGTATTGATGGGAAAAGTAAGTTACAAATTCTTAAACAGCTTACCAAAGGTTATCCATTCAATAGTGAAGCTTGTTATTTGATCAGTTAGGCTCTGATCTTTAGATCCAGAACCTAATTCAACCACTATGCTTAGTGGTGTGCTAATAAATATTTAACAACCAGCAATCCTGGGGCACAGAAGGAGAGGCCTTTATATGTGGCTTTTGCTTATTCCATGAAATAATGACATGTAGCCAATAGCTAGGTTTAACATGTGTTGGCATTTTGTCATAATCGCTTCAGATCTTTTTCCCCTCATTTCAGGAATAAAACAAATGCAGTTTGCAGCTAAAGACTTCCTTCCTGTCCCCCACTTACCACTGCCTCCCAGTTACCACTCCTTCATCTTTCCCTCTCCAGAGATAATCTCCAGTATTTTGCAGTTTTATACTCTTATTTGTGTATGTGTAGTGTTTTGTGATTAAATCTTTTTTTTTTTGAGATGGAGTTTCGCTCTTGTCGCCCAGGCTGGAGTGCAGTGGTGTGATCTTGGCTCTTGTCGCCCGGGCTGGAGTGCAGTGGTGTGATCTTGGCTCTTGTCGCCCGGGCTGGAGTGCAGTGGTGTGATCTTGGCTCTTGTCGCCCGGGCTGGAGTGCAGTGGTGTGATCTTGGCTCTTGTCGCCCAGGCTGGAGTGCAGTGGTGTGATCTTGGCTCTTGTCGCCCGGGCTGGAGTGCAGTGGTGTGATCTTGGCTCTTGTCGCCCGGGCTGGAGTGCAGTGGTGTGATCTTGGCTCTTGTCGCCCGGGCTGGAGTGCAGTGGTGTGATCTTGGCTCTTGTCGCCCGGGCTGGAGTGCAGTGGTGTGATCTTGGCTCTTGTCGCCCGGGCTGGAGTGCAGTGGTGTGATCTTGGCTCTTGTCGCCCAGGCTGGAGTGCAGTGGTGTGATCTTGGCTCTTGTCGCCCGGGCTGGAGTGCAGTGGCGTGATCTTGGCTCTTGTCGCCCGGGCTGGAGTGCAGTGGTGTGATCTTGGCTCTTGTCGCCCGGGCTGGAGTGCAGTGGTGTGATCTTGGCTCTTGTCGCCCGGGCTGGAGTGCAGTGGTGTGATCTTGGCTCTTGTCGCCCGGGCTGGAGTGCAGTGGTGTGATCTTGGCTCTTGTCGCCCAGGGTGGAGTGCAGTGGCATGATCTTGGCTCAGCACAATCTCTACCTCCTGGGTTCAAGTGATTCTCCTGTCTCAGCCTCCCGAGTAGCTGGGATTACAGGCATGCACCACCACTCCCAGGTAATTTTGTATTTTTGGTAAAGACCGGGTTTCTCCATGTTGTCTGGCTGGTCTCAAACTCCTGTCCTCAGGTGATCCTCCTGCCTCAGCCTTCCAAAGTGCTGGGATTACAGGCATGAGCCACCTCACCTAGCCTTGTGATTAAATCTTCTATTTCCATATTAGGATTGAAACATTAGGATGTGTGACATCGGTCATGTCGGGGTCACCACTTGTGGGGGTCTGTCCTGCAGACCCTGATTCTGTGGCGGATGAATAAATACACTCAAACAGAGTACAGTGAATGAATGGACTCGGGGGTTGGGCGCTTCCTGATGAGTGAGATCGCAGCTATGCAACAACCACTAGTTCTTCCTCGCATTTATTCAGTATAGATTTAACAACAAAGGCTTTGAATAAGTGCATTGTGGATAATTAACATGGTTAACAGAGTAGTTTTTCAAAAGATTAAAGTTCAGGTACCAATGCCCAGAGCAAACACCATGAAAGGATTATTTCCCTGGTCAACCTCTTCCCCCAAAGGACCCTATGGCTCAAAGTTTACATGAGTAAACAAGCTAGTTAGAGCAAAGACAAAGGAATGTGGGGAGTTTATCTAATTATTTAACTACAGGGACAAGGCTGCCTTCAGCCGAGTAATAAAAAACCCTTAGGCCTTCCAAAAGGGTTTGTTATCATATTCTGTAACTTTCCCTTATTATTTCTGCCGCCATCCTGAGTGAGCCCCAGCATCCCCCCTTTTATGTTTCTAATAGCAGCCTCCGTTGACTGACAGGCACGAGTGTGCTCAGCCATCGGCTGAGCATTGCTCTTATTCCAGCTTTGTATCCTAGAATTAACAAATAACATAAGACAATTATAAGTACAATTAGCAACGTTCTTTTCCAGTGGAGGAGAGTCTCCCAGGAACAGAGTCTAACCAGGAGAGATGATCTTGCACACCTTTCCATATGGCTGTTTGTTGGGTATGTAGACCTGTAGTGTGAAGGCATTCTAAAATTTTAGTTTTAAGTGCTTTACATCTGCTGTTAAATTGTCATGAAGGGGTCTCTGGGGGTGTTGTTTCATCTCGTCCCAACTATATAGACTCCATGGTAGAGAAGTGACACAGACATGTTCATGTTCCCAGTCTCAGCTGAACTGCTCTCGGAATGCCATTGTACCTTGTCGCTCCCCCCCACATTCCACGGCAAACTCAAGGGCTTGCAGACCTGCAGGATCCATACCTTGCTGCTAGAGAAGTTCATTAGACACATTTTTCGGCCAGGTTTTCTACAAAAGCAGCTTTTTGTGCTGACTCAGTAACAGATGCCACTACAACGCTGGCAGTTGCCAGGATGACTATGGCTGAGACTATGAAGGCTATAAGTGTAACTATGAATCTTGTGTGTCTGACCTGGGATAGGACACGTTCTAAGGTGACAAGGGCAGAGGAAGCTTGCAAATCGCGTGTTAAATTGACTGGTAGGAATGCCTCAGATGGTCTTAATACCATGACACTCGTAATTTTTAAATTAGATATGTTTTGATTAGTGATACATGAGGCAAACCAAGTCTGTCTCTACTCAGGTCACGAACTTGGGGCCTTGGGGTGTAATGGAAATGTTGGTTCCCATAAGGAAAACAAATGGATGGGTAGTGCAAATCAGGCACCGATCAGTGTGATTAGGGATAAAGGTTATAGCACAGTTGCGACTAGAATTATGATATGTCCCATGCCAGGTGTTAAGGGAAGTGCTGAGATGTCCCAGGTGCCATAAGGTGTCTTTGGGTGGCACGGACTTTACTTGGGGTCTGGGATATCTCATCCCCCGCATTGGCCCAAATCATAGGGGAAGAAGCTGTGGCTATGAAACTGTGATGAATGCTGTGGCGGATGAAGACATTGGTAAGGCTGCTTTGCAATCGGCGTGGGGGCTCCAGTCTAAGATGTTATAATTGCCTAACTGGAGGCTGTGGGCTCGTCCCATGACAGACCTCCCAACCAAAGTGGAATCCGTCACTTTCCTGCCTTTGTTCCTAAAGAACAATGGAGGGAATGTTTGGGAAAGCGGCACGGGTTACATTGCCTGGTTTGAGGCTACCTGCCGCTAAGAATGTTAAGGTATCTCCTTTGCCATGATGTAGCCAT